TACAGATAAGATCTTACAAGTGGATAAATGCTGCTTCAGATGTTCAGACATAACACAGACATAAATAGCAACCTACGCGTCAGTGAACACCACACCAGATGTTCAAGCAAAACACAAACATATGTATATAGTACATATGCAATTAATAAAATTTCATATTTATTTTAAGTAAACTAAACTGTAATACAATGTTAATTTTTAGTAAAGGCTGTATATGTATTATTGCTTGCAAAGACAATTTTCCAAAAAAAAAGATTAGATAACAGAAATAAAATTAATCGTTTTATTGCAACAAATTTTAAAAAATTATATGCTTTGTTGACTTCGTTCACATCTTTAACTTATTTAATGTTTTGATACCGTGGTATACACATATTTTGATATTTTGGTATACACATATTTTGATACCTTGGTATACACATTCATTTTTCTTTACCTACTTTAATCATTATATACATATTCTTACATTACATCATTCATCTTCATGTTTATATAATTTTAAACCTTAATATACATATTTATATTTGTTTAATTATTTTACACATGTTTTCGATTTACCTATTTTGACATAAGCTTGTTGCTACTTTACTTTACTAATTACTATTATAAGCTACTTTACTTTACTAATTACTCATAAGTATACTCTTTAAAACTATTTATTTAGTTTTTTTAAAACTGTATATTTAGTTTCTTTAAAACTATTTATTTAGTTTCTTAAAAACCATTTATTTAGTTTTAAACCTAAAAGACCTTGTTGCGAGGTTTCTTTGCACAATGGAAAACCATAACTCAACAAAGCTTACATGTTTACATCGTTCAAAATTAAATTGTCATTAGCCCATTTAAAATACCACATTTTAAGTAAATTTATTTATAAACCGTTTTAAAAATCTTTTAAACAGTATAACTTATAACAAATATAACTTATATAACTGCATAATAATTTAACTTATATAACTATAATAATATAACAAATATTATTTATAAAATAAAAATTAGGTATTTGTAAAATGTTATATTTTCCTTATGTTTATTTCTGAACACAAACTTGTACATAATCTTTTGTTTGCTTTATCACTTTTTTTTTTCTTTTTTCTTTTTTTTTTATAAGTATGAGCGTTCCTTTAAAATTTAAATTAAAATCGTATGTAATTTAAAGTTTATTAACTAAAAAACATTAAATTAAAAATGGTAAAAAGTTAAAACTTAGAATTTAATAAATGTTGAAAATGTTTAAACTTGAAGGTTGTTTTTTTTTTAACTCATTTTATGAATTTTGAGTATAAAAAATTTATTACATATTTTTTTTATTTTATCAAAAAAATTCTGTAAATATGTTTTTTACAATAATTGATAATTATTGATTAATAACTAATGGTTTCTAAATAAACGTTGTTTTAACTAAATCAACTAAAGAACAAATTCGCAAAGAGGTAGATCAGCACTTGATTCCTTAAATAACAACAAACAAAAGCAAAATTTTTATCAGGCGTAAGTCAAACGATAGCATTACTAGAAGAATATATGTCCATCTAGTAAAAATTCTTTGATTAACAATTGAAGATCAAATCTGTCCTTGTTTGGAATACTGTTGCCATATCTGAATGATCTCTTTTCTTTTTTGGACAAGGTGCAAAAGCTCATTATTAGTATAGTTGCGCCTGCACTTGCAGTCAACCTTCAACATGTGTCCCATCTTCATCATGTTGGATCTCTTTCTCTTTTTTTATAAATAGTGTAATGGGTGCTGTTCTAAAGAGCGACCTTCTCTTTTACCATTGCAGTTCAAATCCTTTAAGTAATCTTTTTTTTATTGATTTATGTGAATAAAACATAAAATTTATTCACTCAGTGAATACAACATTTAAAAAAAATTATCTGTCAAAATGATTTAAATATATTGAGTTAGAATTTTAAATACTTTGATATTTTTTAATGCCTTAATGACATTAAAAAAATATCAGTTTCAAAGTTTTTATATAATTACAGTGAAGAACCCAGAGTTTATTTAATGATACCGTTTTTTTTTTTTTTCAGCAATGTTTAGGGAGGGGGGGGGTTATGTTTTTGATTTCCCTCTCCCCCTCATTCTCCTCTTGTTAAACGGGTGTCGCAACAATAATTTTTAATCATCATTTTCTTAATAATCATTTATGTTTATCTTGCTCAGTTTTATCCTACAATAAAGTGTTGATTTAAAGACATATTTTGAATAAATGAATTTACTGGTGGACAATGTTACTTTAGCTAAAAGAAAACTATTTTACCTAAGATTTTAATAAATGCTTTTGTTGCATATACCACACTATCAGTAAATAATTATTGAAAATTGTTTAAAGTATTCTAAACAGTCATTAACTATATTTTAGTAAATTAAATTTAAAATAATAATTAAAAATATTTTAAACAATTTTTAATCAATATTTACATTACATAATATTTATATATATTAATATCGAATAATATTTGTAAAATTAACAAAATAGTTTTACGTCTTGTATTTGAATTAAAAACATAAGCATTTAATAAACGTATTTCATAAACTATTCAAATAAAAACATAAGCATTTAATAAACTTATTTTCTATTATTTTAAATTTAAAATTTCGATTTAAATATTAGTAAATCTGTTCATTTAACTTTTACTAAAGGTTATAATTTTTAAAGTGATTTTAAGGCGCCTTTTAAATTAAAGATAATTAAAGAGATAATAATTATCTCTTTAATTACCTGTTTATTGTAATTATTATAGTAAACATAATTTTAAGAATATTTTATTATTTTGATTAAAAAACATATTATATTTCTTTAAACTTATATTTAAAAAAATATATTTATTTAATTATTAAGAATAATTTAAAAAACTACATTTGAATAAATAAATTACATTTACTATGGGTTATTTTATACAGATCTAAATAAAACTTTTACTAAGTTATTGAAACCTTTTTTTTTTATTATTTTAAAAATAATATTGAAAGGAAAAAAAATTTCTGAAAAAGTTTATACTTTGTTTTTTCGTTTTCCTCATGTAAACCAGAATAGCAAGCTAAAGATTAAAAGTCAATTTATTTAAAAATTAAACTTGCGCGATAATTACAAGGACTGATATTTTTTGCTTTAGTTCATTTATTATCAAAAGCTATTTACTTTTAATTGCCAAAAAGAAAACTAACGATACCCTGAATGGATATTTAAAAATGCTTAACTTTCAAAAAAACAAATCTTTTATACATTCCATTGTTATAAAATTTTGCATCGTGGTTTTAAAATTAATTAAAAATTTCTTAACAACTTTCATTTTTTTAAAATTATGTCCTGTTAATAACCGAAGGCAAATTACGTCACGTAGTTATGTATAAAAGCAATTTCTTTTTAATTCTTTTTATTTTCCCGAAGAAAAAATGAGGTTACTAAATTAAATTAAACATGAGGTAACTAAATTAAACTAAGTTAAATCGAGAATTATTTATATACTACTGCATTTAAAACTAATTTTTTTTTTTTTATTTTTATAAAAAATCAAAATCAAAATTAAAAATAAAAATAATTTTTGGATGCTTTTTTTTGGGCACCCATACCGGTAAAATGGTACTAAAACAAGTCTGGGTTCTTCACTGAACTATATTTGGATTAAGTAAATTTGAAATTTTGATCTTTTCTAAAGTCTATTGAGTGAAATACTTTTTAATTTAAAAAAAAAAACATATATGTTGTTTTTGTAGTTTTATTTTTTCAAGTTTATCTCCTATTTATTTTCTCATTTGACAGGATTTTTTTTCTTTTCTTCAGTTTATGAAGTTTTTTTTTCCTTAAGTTTAGTTTGGTTTTTTCAGCGCATTTTTAAAATATGCAAATTATCATAACTAATAATAAATTGTTAAGCCTTCTGCGGAGAACCGTGTGACCTCTCCTCAATAGGCTTTACACCTGAAACCATAATAATAGTATCACGCAATTATAATAGTAGAAAATAAGTAAGTACTCATGAGTCCTTAATAAAAGGGGAGGGGGAGAGAATAATAATTTTTTTAACTGATTAATAATTAATCAGTGAAAATCCTAAAAATTAAAAAATAATTCTTTTAGTCACTTATAAAAACAAAATCTTTCAGTGTAAACAGGCTTTAAAAATTGCAGACTTTGTATATCTTGATTTGTCAAAAATGAGTTGTTGTTTTTTTTCTCACCAAAGTATAAAACTTATATCAACATATCAAATCCTATTGAAATTATGATAAAACAGCTGTTAGAAAATGCGCATTTGATCGCAAGCCATTCTAGGGAACATCCAAAAAATATGTACGCAATAAAACCACTGATTTAGGACCCCCTCCCCCATTGTACAAACCTGTACACTTTGGAAGACTTCCCCCTCCCCCTCTGTTTACGCACGCATTATTTTTTTCATAACTTTTTCACTCCTCAGAAGAAAAAAAACACAATTGTTATTTGTTTCAAATGTGAAATTCAATGTTTAAAAAAAAAAATCAAGTTTAGGAGAGATAGTCAAACTGCGTACGATTTGACTATCTCTTGTAAACGGTAAACCTCCTCTCTCTCCCTCCCTCCCCCCCCCCTCCTCCTCCTTGTATGCGTTGGTATGCTTTTTTTTAATCATAGCAGATCTGGAGATTTTCCATTTAAAACATTTTTTGTCTAGGTTGTCATTAAATTCAATAAAATAAACAAGTTACATAGGAATGTTAAAAAGTTATAACAATTTTAGTAATAAACAATTTCTAGAACTTAATAATAAAATGTTTTTTATTATTTATAAAATAAAAAAGTAAAGATGATTCAAACAGGTTTTTAAAGAATCTTCTAATATATCTTGTATAAAAATTTCTTAAATGAAAGTTTGTTCTTGTTGTTTCTTTTAATTTTTATTATATAATATCTATTATATAATAAAAATTAAATAATATTGTGAATATTATAGTGCTTTCAATGGTCTACATCTCCTATGCTATATATATCTAAAATTTCTTAATTTATTAGGCTACTTAATAATGAGGGTTCTTTACTGGCATATTCTGGATCTGATGTTCATAAAGATAAAATGATTACTGCTGCAGTTTCATCTAATATATGGTCTGCATATGAGAAAGGTGGAAAAATGGCATTCCATAATGAAGGTCTGCAATATATGTTCATGGATTGTCAGGTAAAAAGTTTTAAGTACAATTATAGAAAGAAAAAACTCACACGAATTTAGAAATAATTTCTCAAAATTTTAATAAAGGAATGGAAATAATTGGCTAAAAAGTTGGAAAAATGGAAAAACTTAATTCCGATTATTTTAAAAACTTTTTTTAAAAACTAATTTTTCTAAATGCATATTTTTATAAAATTATTCCATAATCAATGATTCATAATGGGGCATAATAAATATTTAGCAGAAGCTGTTCAAAAGTTGATTATACAACCATCTTATAACAGTAAGACTGTGAGACTAATTTTAATAGAAATGAATATTCCAACAGTTGCCTATGTATTGAAAGTTTTTTGACAGCGGAATCATTTCCAAGCGTTGCCAAAGTCAGGAAGGCCAAAACCAAAAATATTTTGCCAAGATAATATTATAGATCATCTAAAGCTGTTCCACACTAAAAACACACTAGAGTCCTAAAAACACACTAGAGTCCTAAAAAAATCTATAATAAGTTTACACATTTAAATCAAATTTCCTGTTTTTATGCAATGGTGAAGTGTCGCTAAATACAAAACAACCTTTTTAGTTGCTGTCTCTGTAAAAAACCTATTTGCTTCTGCAAAAATTTTAGAACATGACTGAAATTTGCACAGAAAATTAAAATGGGCAGCACAGCAATGATTGAAAATACTATGAAATAATAAGTCAAAATTTTTAATTTTTCTGAAGGTATTAAATATGTTCGACGTACAGTAGGTCAAGAAATGAATTACCAAGTTCCTACAGTGAAGTATGGTCGTTGCTCAATAATGATTTGGTCATGTTTTAGCCATGATGGAGTAGGTCCGATGTATCAAGATCAAGGCACTATGGACAAATATATGTATATAGAAATAATCAAGGACCAGCGACGTATCCAGGTCGTTTTGATGCCAGTATGTTAGTATGGGCCCCCAAATTTCTGCTCAAACTTTCAATTCAAAACAACTTTGTATTAGCACCAAGTTTGTCATAAAAAAAAATTACTTATTGTCTTACTGATTTGTAATGATAAAATTTGTTGTGGGGTCCTTCATAAATTACTTCACGCTAAGGGAGGGGGAGGGGGAGGCAATTTTGTTATGAAGGGGAGGGGGAAGGTCTCAATTTTGTGATGCAACTTTTTTTTAGAGAAGACTTTTTTTTAATTAAAAGAGTATCTGACCGAACCAAAACCCTCAGTTGATGTATCTACATGTTGATTGTAAAATCAACTATGCCAAAATCTTACTCAGTCGATGTTTTTTTGTTGCTGCACACAAAAGTGTGCAGCAACAAAAAAACAATCTTTGTGCACTAACAAAAAAAAAGAAAGTAATCTCATACCGAGAAGTGAACCTGGTACTCTTAGTTTACTAGCTGGAGGTAGAATCCACACAACCACGCTTACGTTTATATTTTAAAAAAAAATTGTATTTATAAAATAATATTTTTCATCTATATTATATTATTATTTATTATACAGGCCTCGGCAGGAATAAATGAGTACAAAAGAGGAGAAAAGCTCTCCTAAAATGAACTTGGGGAGGTGTGAGTACTGCTCCTCATTTAAATCGGCGCTCTTTTTTAATTCTAATTTTTTTTTGCAACAACCTTGCCTTTTAAAAAGCATTTCAGTATATTATGCAATTAATTTTTTCTAAATGACGTTATGTTTTTTATTATATATAATATATAATATAAATGACAAAATGACATTGTGTTTTTTATTATATATTATATATAATATACAATATTTTGCATGTATTATATATCGGAACAATAGATTTTTTAAATTGGTATAATGTTTAGAATAGCGATGTTAATTTATACAATTTTACACGGAATTATTGGGGTGAAAAAAAAACATTAAACAGACTGAAAAGTACTAACTAATTCTCAAAGTACTAACTAATTCTCAAAAAAAAAAACTCAAAGAAGCTCAGAGAATTGTAGACATTATTATATTTAAAATCGATTTGTATTTTATAAAATTTTGCACCCCTCCTCTCTGTAAAAAAATTTTTAGGGGGGAAGGTACAAAATTGTTGCATAATATTGGGGGGGGGTCAATAAAGTGTTACAGATATGTTATGAGGAGGGGGGGAAGGTGGTCGAAAAATGTCAAAAACTGCGTGACATAATTTATGAACAACCCCTATAGTTACAAAATTGTTATTTATGTCGTTTAGAAAAAGCAACATTTGCAAACAACTTTTAAAACAGAATATAAATGCATTTTTAGTCAATCAGAATGCTTAATTCGATTTCATGTGGATGAAATATGGAATATTTCATCAACATGATTAACAATTCAATTAAAATGTAAATACACATTTTGATTGGATTAAAATATGAATTGCTTAGCATTTTATATTTTTATAATTTCTTTAATAAAAACATTACCTTGTTTTAAAATATGCATAATTCAAGTTTCTCCTCTGCTTACATTTTCATAACAATAGTTTACAATGCAATTAAACTCTATAAGCTTTAAATTGTCTTATTTTAATTAATTAACACTTTAAATGTTTTTAAGTAATAAAATGAGTAAAAGTTTTTAAAGTAAAATGTTATAACAATCACACCAAAAAACTTGATTTTAAAAATGAGAGAAGTAAAACAACAAAAGTTATTAACTTTTGAATGACCTTGCTATGCTTACTATAAATGATTTAATGGCCTTGCTATGCTTACTATAAATGATTTAATGGCCTTGCTATGCTTACTATAAATGATTTAATGACTTTGCTATGCTTACTATAAATGATTTAATGACCTTGCTATGCTATAATATAACTCTGCATTGTATGTTTTTATAAATTTTTGTTACTAATATTTGTTTGCAAATGTTTAAATAATATGTTTAACTTATTTTATATGGATTGAGCAAAGACTTCTTGTAGAAACCACAACAAAAATGTGTCTACATACAGATCTTTGCACAGCAAAAATAACAATGCAAATTCTAGACAAAAGTCAATGTATGAGGCATTTGCAATAAACCAAACTACCGAAGATACAGACAAAATACGCGAAGAGGTAGATCAGCAGTTGATTCCTGAAATTAGAACAAATTAAAACAAAATTTTTATTGGGCGTGAATCAAACAATAGTATTATCTGTAATAACAACAAATATATACTAGATAGACATATATGTACACAATGTTTCACCAATCTTAGCAAAAATGGGAAACAATATTTCCATTTGCTATTTATTCTACAAAAGATCAAGACTGGTTGTGTAGTATATGTGGGGATATTGGAGAAGTGTGGAGAACTGTGGAAGGTGTTCGAAAAACTGTTTACTTTGTAATTAAAAAGAACTATGCAGTCCGTGAAAGCTTTAGTTATATTGTTGAATTTATTTGAGATCTTGGAGATCTTGGAGTGTATTCACACATTAAAATTAATAGCAAATGTGCGATATACACATCAGCAACTAGTGTTGATCAGTTCGTCAAAATAATAAGTGATAAGTTAGAAAATGAGGTTTGTATAAAAATTGTTTTGACCCATAACTTTAGTGTTCTTGCTGATGAGATGGGCAACATGGCGGATAGAACTGTCTTTTCTGTTTTCATTAGGTATGTCAATTGTGATTCTCATACTATTAAAGAAATATTTTTTGGTTTATTCCAAGTTATTGAAAGAAAGGATGCTTAAAATATGAAATATACTAGCCTCAAGTATTTGCAAAATATGAAATATTCTAGCATTAAGTGCAATATTTGATGCAGTACAAAGTGCTGACAGTATAAAACCAGCCAAGCTACTTAAAGTTACTTAAAGCTGCTCCAACTTCTCATAGTGCTTCTTCAGTCCAACTTGGTTATTTCATAGTGCTTCTTCAGTACAACTTTGTTATCTCATAGTGCTTCTTCAGTCAGATTTGGTTATCTCATAGTGCTTTTTCAGTTCAACTTGGTTATTTCATAGTGCTTTTTCAGTTCAACTTGGTTATTTCATAGTGCTTCTTCAGTACAACTTGGTTATCTCATAGCGCTTCTTCAGTACAACTTTGTTATCTCATAGTGCTTCTTCAGTCCAATTTGGTTATCTCATAGTGCTTTTTCAGTTCAACTTGGTTATTTCATAGTGCTTCTTCAGTACAACATTGTTATCTGTTAGTGTTTTTCCAGTACAACTTGTGTCAAGGTTTTAACAATTTATAAACAGCCTTGACGCAATTATTAATCAAAAGTATGATGCCGAGTTGAACTGTCTAACATATCAATTGCTTTTTCCTGATAATACACTATTTTTTGCTTTTACTACTGGTGTTTTAATCCCAATAAATAAATTTGCAAAGTTTTTACAATCGCCAAACCTAGTGTAGTCAAACATAAACTTGAAGTTAGACTTTTTTAAAAAACAATATTGTTGTAATATGGCAATATTGTTAAATAATCTTTACAATATTGCCAATGGTAAAAGTCCATTATTTAACACTCATTCAAATAAATTTCTCAATATATTTAAATAGCGTCTAAGACTTATATCTAACAGACTCAAATAAGAATTTGAGTTGCTAATAATAAGTTTTATAACACCAGAAACAATTAATGAATTAATAAAATTTATAAAGAGATTAAAAGCAGAAATTGATTCAGCAATGCGAATTAATGACGATGTATTTTTAGCGTTTAATGCATTTAACGCATCTGGTGAAAATCAAGTTCTCGACAATTTTTAGGTAACATTTGTAAACTTTTTGGCTGTCATTGACGAGAAAAAAATTATTGCACCTCTGTTGTTTAATCCTATTCAAGATAATGGAGATCCACCATTTTTTCTCTGATTATTCAAGTTCTAGTAAATAAAGGCAAGTTAAAGAGAAAAACATCAATATATATAAGCATAAACACTCGATAACAAGCAATGCTATTTATACTGTTTTCCATACCGAGCATGCATGGGTGCAGTACTATGAGGTAATGAAATTATTCAAATTGTCACTACTTATACCACTTACCATGGCCAATGTTGAAC